GGGCACTTGTGTTAATTTTCGCAAACTAAACTCAGCTCCTCGATGTTTGCTAGATTTGTTTTTCATTTTCAAGGAGTTATTAACTGGTTTTACTCTATTTCCAAACAAATTGTTAGATGTCATATAATTTATAATATTGATAAGTTGGTCTGGGTTCGAAACCCTAGTCTTCCACAAGCATTTTTACATTTGAGAGACAGAGAGCAGGGCAAAGAGACAGGTATGTATAGAGAGAATCCCCCCTCACTGGTTCATTCCCCACATGCCTACAATGGCTAGGGTTGGGCCGGCGAGGAAACCAGGAGCTTAGAACTCAACACAGATCTGCAGTGGTGGGGCATCTCCTGCTGCCTCCCAGAGTCTGCGTTGGGAGGATGCCAGAATGAGGAGCAGAGAGCCAGACTCCAGGTCTGGGCAGCCGGCACCTTAGCTGCCAGGCCACAGCGTGCCCCTGCGAGCATTTTTGGAGTACGCACTGCAAGTCGTGCTGTGGTTGGTGTAGAGGATAGAGTCTCACCTGAGGCGTGGGCCGGGTGGGGCCTTTCTCTAGGACCACAAGGTACACTGGCGTGCTAGTCCCTTGAGAGGAGTATCGATTCCCTGTGGGTCTCCTGGTCTCCTCAGACTCATCTGGTTTGGGAAATTATACTTTGGGGCTGTTTCTGACTGGTAAATATTATACTTTCATTCTTAACTCTGTCATGCATTGTGCAGTCATGGTTTTGAAAAACAAAACAGAAAACCCCAGAACCCGCCCTTGGCAGTGTGATCTGCTCACCAGTGGGCCATCATGCGCCTGCAATCTCATGTCTGTGGATTTTGGTCTTTTAGGGGAAGAAAAGTGGTTTCTTGTTTTCCGATTCACGCAGCCATGAGTGTCGAAGCTGTTTGGCTGTTGGCTCACAGCTTATGTGACGGTACTCAGGCCTTGCACTTGGCTGGACTGGTTCTGAACACCTCGCTGTTGAGGAATGCAGGGCTTCGTGGACCTCGCTGTCTGGCAGGTCACCTGCAGGGGGCTTTCATCCTTTCACACTGGTGGTCCCTGCTTGCCTTGGAAGACGCCTCGAGGTAGTCCTAGAGACAGGATAGGACTTTCCCTTGTGTGTGTGTGTGTGTGTGTGTGTGTGTGTGTACGGGGAGGGGGGTCATTGCATACCCTCACTAATCCATGCCTCAGAGTCTATACATGTGGTCTCTGTGTGTGTACAAGAAACGGAGAGGGGCGGGCACCTGAACAGCCCGCGTGTTGACGATGGTGCATTAAGGAGAGGCAGCATTATTTAGAACAGTGAAGCTCGGAGCTACCGCGGCTGACTCCTAGCAGGGGAATGGTTCCACGTGGCTGTGGCTCTGTTCTGCTGAGCTGTGTCCTCCCTGTGGGGTTTCCTCACCTGTTCACCACTGCCTGCCATAGAGCACCCAGCTTGTAAACCTCGAGTCTTGCGTGCCTCAATTCATCATCCCTTGGTTTTCTCTAATTTTGTTTTTGTTTCTGTTTTTTTTTTTTTTTTTTTCTGGTGAAAACACATAACATAAACTTTACCATCTTAACGGTCTTTAAAGGTCCCATTCAGTAGCGTTAATTCGCATTTCTGTGAAACAGATTGGCAGAACTTCTCACCTTGCACTTCTGAAACGCTACACCCATGAGACAGTACGTCCTTTCCCATTGCACCACCTGCGGTGACCACGGCTGTCAGCCTGACTCTGGATACCGCGTAGAAGCGGACTCCTGTGCTCTTGGTGGTGGTGTGACCGCTGTTTCCTGAGCGTGAGGGCCTCCAAGTTCAGGCATGTTGCATGTAGCGTGTGGCGAGAATTCCTTGATTTTTAAGGGATTTTGCTGTTCCATTGTTTGTATGTGTCACATTTGCTTCTCCATTCATCTGGTTGCACACACACAGCTCGGGTCCCCGGTACCTCCTGTGCATGTGGAAACCCCTGCGCTGATGCCTGTGTCCACCTGCTGAGCAGCAGAACCACTTGCGTCCTGTTTGATTCTCGAGGAGTTGCCACAGGGGTTGCACCGTGACGTTAACACTTTCTTGTGCCTGTTTTGTGATTGGATTGTTTATCTCAGCATTACTGAGTTTTAATAATTCTTTGTATATTTCAACACACATTTTTAAGATGTAGGATTTTTCAAATAATGTTACCCAATTTTTGTCTTGGTTTTTCATTTTTTTCATGACCTTTTGAAGAACAGAGTTTCTAATTCTGGGGAAGACTGGCTGGTCGATTTTTTCTTGTGTAGAGTGTTTCTGGTATCCTATCTAAGAAATCTTTGCCTAACCCAAGGTCACAACTATTTTCTCATAAAGTTTTTATAGTTTTAACCCTTACATCCCTAGTGTTTAGTCCGTTCCTGTGTTAATTCTGAGTTGATGTTGTGTATGGTTTGAGGTAAATGTCCAAGTTCCTGTTTCGCTGTGTTTATCCAGGAACCATTTGTTGAATTCATTGAATTGGCCTCGCCCCTTTGGCAAAATCAATTGACTATAAATGTAAAGGTTTATGGCCACATGATCTTGTGGCTGTGATTTAATAGTAAGTTTTGAACCTGACTAGTGTAAGTTATCTTTTTTCAAAATTATTTTGGCTAGTCTAGGCCCTTTGCGTATCCATATAAATTTTAGCTTGCACCTGTTAACTTAATTATATCTGTTTGTTTAAATTAATTCTTTCCCCCTCTTTTACCTCCTGAGAATTCGTTCTGCAGCTTCTACATCTATGTGTGTATGTGGGTGTGGGTGTCTGTTTGTTCTTTTCGCTTTGATTTTTTTTATTGCCTTCTTTGTTTGCATTTGGGTAGCTAATCCTGTGTAAGATTCAGTTATCTTAAATGTTTACCAAGGGGGCCAGCACTGTGGCGTAGTGGGTAAAGCTGCCGCCTATAGTGCTAGTATCCCATATGGGTGCCGGTTCAAGTCCCAGCTCCCCCACTTCCGATCCAGCTCTCTGCTATGGTCTGGGAAAGCAGTAGAAGATGGCCCAAGTCGTTGGGCCTCTGAACTGGTATGGGAGACTTGGAAGAGGCTCGTGGATCCTGGCTTCTGATTGGTGCAGCTCTAGCCATTGTAGCCATCTGGGGAGTGAACCAGTGGATGGAAGATTTCTCTCTCACTCTCTCTCTCTCTGTAACTCTGTCTTTCAAATAAATAAATCTTTAAAAAAAAATGTTTACCAAATCCTTGGTTGCGGCCACAACAATGGATATATTTCCTTTGATTGAACCCAATTTTATATCCTGTTTTAATGATAATGTTATTGAAAAATCTGTTTGAGATTTTTCAAAGATATTCTATTTTGTGTCAACTTATAATACTAGTCAGCTGTTTCTGAACTATGTTAGATTTGTGTAGAAGAAACTCAGAGTCATTAGGACCCACTTATTGATCATTATATCTGTGCCATGACATAATCAAGTTCATATCAGTTTTTCGTTCTTACCCCTTCAGTGACTCCTCCGAAGGCTGAAGTCTGTGCAGTGGTCAACAAGGCCCTGGGAGACCTGGCTCCTGCCAGGCTCTCAGCTTCATTTCCTTTAACTGCCTTCTTGGTCTCCCTTCTCCTTTGTTATACTAGTTTTGTTCTTTGAAAATGGCAAGTACGCTCCTACCTTTTTATCTCCAACTCTTCTATCTAAAATAGCAGCATTGGGGCAGCCTTTTGGCCTGGTGGTTAAGGCACTGGTTAAGATGTGCATATCTTATACCAGAGTACCTGGGTTCAGTACCCATCTCCAGCTCCTGCCTCCAGCTTCCTGCTAATGTACACCCCAGGGGTACAGTGGTGGTAGCTCAAGTTACTGGGTCTCCTACCACCCCTGTGGGAGACCTGCATGGAATTTCCAGTTCCTGGCTTTGACCCCGCCATCCTGGGGCTGTTGTGGGCATCTGGGAATTAAATCAGCTGATGGGAGGTGTCTGTCTGTCTATTTGTCTGTATCTCTATCTCTTGTGTCTCAAAATATGAATAAACTTGCCAGTGCCGTGGCTCAACAGGCTAATCCTCCGCCTGTGGCGCCAGCACACCATTACACTCTGTTCATTTTTCTGTCTGTAATCCCTGCCTGAGTAGACAGCAAACCCAGTGAGGACAGTGACTTTGTTTTACACATATATGTAAATATATGTGTATATATTACATATATAAATATATGTAAATATATGTATATACACATACATATGTATTTCTGGGATTAGAATGAGTCTAGGCAAATATGAGGAGACTTCTCAAAGTTTTTAGAAAATGAAAAGCTAAGGTTTGTGGAGCAGGCATTGTGGTGTAGCGGCCACCAACATTCCATATCCGAGTGCCCGGGTTAGATCCTGGCTCTGCTCCTGGTTCCAGCTTCCTGCTGTTGCACACCTTGGGAGGCAGCAGCTGATGGCCCAAGGATCTGGGTTTCTGCCACCCACATGTGAGACCCAACTTGAGTTCCCAGTTCCTGGCTGCTTCTTGGCCCAGCCCTGCTACTGCAGGCATGAGGAGATGGGAGCGCGGGTGCGCTCTCTCTCTCTCTCTCTCTCTCTCTCTATTTCAAACTTAAAAAAGAAAAGATAAATTTTTTGTGGGAAAAATTTTTCAATCCATGAATTCAAGAGTCTTCTAAAGGTTCATGGAAATGTGTTTTTGAAACAGCCATGCATGGGTTTCACAATTTTTTGCACCAAAATAAACTTAATTTTGTCATTTGGTTTTCCACAGACGTTTTTAAGACCTGCCCTCAGAGATTTGTTTTATTTGTGAACATGAGTGAGTAAATGCATATATATGTATATGTGCTCACAGCTTATTAATAGCAGTGACATTCATGAAACATGCATGCTATTATAAGAAATGATACCAGTATGTCTTGATGAAGTAGGCTTTTTTTCCTATATTTTTTTGTGTTAGGGCTAATAATATAAAAATTTTGGTAGAAGACTTTGATCCTCCAGTTTATTATGATTTTTAAAAAAGATTTATTTATCTGAAAGGCAGAGTTATAGAGAGAGGAAAGGAGAGAGAGGGAGACAGAGATCTTCCATCCACTGGTCACTCCTCAAATGGCTCCAATGGCCAGAACTGAGCCAGGCCAAAGCCAGAAGCCAGGAATTTCTTCTGGGTCTCCCACACAGGGTGGCAGGAATCAAGCACTTGGGCCATCTTCCACTGCTCTCCAAGGTGAATTAGCAGGGAGCTGGGTTGGAAGTAGAGCAGCCGGGTCTCGAACTGGCACCCCCATGGGATGCTGGCACTGATTCTTTTTAAAATCCTTGTAAAATGATCATTCTTAATAATGGGGAAATCTTTTTTTTTTTTTGAACTTTATTTCATGCAGATATTGAACCTCAGAATTGTATTTCATTGAGTGGAATTTTATTTACTTGAAAGTCAGAGTTACACAGAGAGAAGGAGAGAGAGGGAGAGGGAGGAGAGGTCTTCCATCCGCTAGTTCACTCCCCAATTGGCTGCAACGGCTGGAGCTGTGCTGATCTGAAGCAAGGAGCCAGGAGCTTCCTCTGGGTCTCCCACATGGGTGCAGGGGCCCAAGCACTTGGGCCATCTTCCACTGCCTTCCCAGGCCCCAGCAGAGAGCTGGATTGGAAGTGGAGCAGCTGGGACTTGAACCGGTACCCATATGGGATGCCAGCACTACAAGCGGTGGTTTTACCCACTGCACCACAGCCCCTGAGTGGAATTTCTTAATACGATTTGCCTACTGATTGCAATTTCAAGTATTGTGTATATTTCTTAGTACCTTCACAAGTCTTTTTTTTTTTGACCACTTTTTACTTGTGTCTGATGTTAGAACCTGCTTTCTGGGAGTGTTTCAAACAGTTTGTGGAAAAATGGACTTGAAAGACAAGTTTACTTTGTTTCAAAACATTTTGAAATCCTTGCATAGTTTTTTTTTAATAACTAAACTTCTTGAAGAACCCTCATTTGCCACTTTTCAGTCTTAAATCTCTGATCTGTGTGCGTATTTCTAACAAACTAGTCTCCTAGAACCATTGCCTTTGTCGTGTGGCCTCCCTGTTTATCAGTCTACAAAACCCCACTGCCCATAGCCTCAGAGAGGCACTCCTTAGGCTGGAATGCAAGGTCCTGTGTTTCTTTTTGAACCTTATCTCCTGCTAGTGTATGCAGTACCAAGCCTGTGTCTTGGCCAGACCTGCCTCCCTCCCACCCTTTAAAAGTTTATATCACCTCCCACCCTCTGAGCTGGCCCTTGAAGTCCAGCCCAGCTACCCTGCTTGCCTTTCATAGCCTTTAACACATCTTTGGAATCCATGAGTCCAGTTTTAACTTTGCTCCCTCCGGAAGTAGCTAAGTCAGCGTGAATCTCGTCTTTGCGTTCCTGGATTCCTCTACCTGTGGTTGTCTTTTCCAGTCATTTGGGCACCCAAGAAAACGCTGTCCCCTTCTCTGAGGATTCTTGAGTGTGTATCCATCTGGAATCCTCGAAGACTCTGAGCACCTTCCTGGCACCAGCCCCTTCTTAAGGACAGGAAGTGTGTCAGCTTGGCAGTGTCTAGGGGACTGCACGATTGTAACTTCTGGTTGAATAGGGTTCAGTGTGGCACCTTTCCTGGAATCCCTCTCTTGGAGGCCACATCATAGCACCTTGCTCGTTGCCATGGTTTGTTTCCCAAAGGCTCATGGGAAGGATGCTGGGTCCTCAGTGTGCTGGTGGAACCTCCAAGAGGCAGGCCCAGCCGGAGGTCAGTCAGCCAGTGAGGGCCCTGCCCTCAGAGGGGGTTAAGGCAGCTGTCACCGGAGCAAGTTGTTCCAAGAGCAGACCTGAGCCCGGAGTTGCTCTCTGGCTTCCTGTTAGCTGGTGTGAGCCCTTGCTCCTGCACCTGTTCCTGGCATGATGCCAGCTGTCCTCACCAGAGGCCAAATGGACGTGACTGCCCAGTCCTGGACGTCAGCCTCCAAAATTGTGAGCCAAAGAAGCCTCTTTTCTTTGTAAGGTTAATCTGCCTCAGGCGTTTTGTTTTAGTACCAGAAAACAGACTTGGGATGCCCATATCCCACATCAGAGAACCTGTATTGGATACTGAGCTCTGGCTCTTGGCTCCAGCCTCCTGCCAGTGCAGGCTATGGCAGGCAGAAATGGTGGCTGAAGTAATAGGAACTGGGCTCCTGCCATCCACACAGGGGACACCTGGGTTGAGTACCTGGCTCCTGGCTGCAGCCTGGCCCAGCCCCAGCTATTGCAGGCATTTGGTAGGTGGGCCAACAGGTGGGAGCTCTCTGTTTTTCTGCCTCTCAATTAAAAAAAAAAAAAAAAAAAAAAAAAAAAAAAAAACAGTGACAGATGTTTGGCCTATTTATTTTGAATACTGGCATCTCACATCAGAGTGTCTGGCTTCAATTCCTGGCTCTGGCTCCTGGCCACAGCTTTCTGCTAGCGTGCACCCTGGTGGATAGCAGAGGAGGACTCCAGTGTCAGATTCCTGCCATCTGTGTGGGAGACCTGGGTTGAGTTCCTGGAGTCTGGCTTCAGCCACCTGTTTTGGGCATTTGGGAAGTGATAGTTCTCTCTCTCTCTCTCTCTCTTTCTCTCTCTTTCTCTCTTTCTTTCTGCTTTAAGATAAAAATTTTTCAAAAGAAAAAAACTAGACTAACAAACTTGTTTATCTGATGACTTTGCTAATCCTACTGAAACTTTGGAAAGCAGCCAAAGAGAGATCACCCTGTTGTAAAATCTGCATTTTTCAATGAGCTTTTTGGAGAGAAGTTCTTCTTTTACCACTCAGAATAATCCGGAAGGCAGGACAAGGCCAGAAGGCGACGCTCCTCCTTGAGCTAAAGCGTGTCTTCTGCTTTGTCTTCCTTTTCCCTTTTGAGTGGCCTCAGTGGGAGGATCTGAAGGGTAGAAGTGGATACGTTGGCTCCAAGCAGGAGTTTAAGGGAGAATTCCATTAAAGTGTGTTGTGGCCATCCCCCTTGGCTTTTCACTTCTCAGCAGAATTCTCTCTGCGACTTTTGGGTCTTCAGTTGTTCTCTTTAGTCATTTCTTCCGAGCTGTCAGTACCTCATATTTAATTTTGCTCAATTCTAGGTAAATTCTGTGTGAGGTTTCACTCATTTTCTGTGTCCAGTTTATCTCAAGATCATTCTTATTAGGAGTTTCTCCATAGAGTTTACTAAGATGAATATTTAATGAATTCATTTTGAGAAATTAATTTAACTTTGTTGATGTTATTTGTGTGAGCTCAGCCACTTAAAAAGCTTAAAAATCTTAAACTTGTATAATATGGAAGGATTAAAAGGATACTCACCAAATTGAACCAACGTCATTAATTTAGGATATAAAACCAATGGGTTAACATTTTAACATGTTCACCCCACACACAAATGTACAGATACAAGGTGTGGTGCTCTCCAAGGAAGGACATCACAGGACTTTCATGCATCCACATAGGTTAGGACACCAACAGGCACTGGTCATTGTTCTTGTGCGCACTTTAATGGGTAGGACGGTCACCTCAAATTCCTTCTCCCTCTCACGCGCCCCGAGTTGTCCAGTGGGAAACATGGATATTGTATTATGACCCTTTGAGAAGATCAGCAGTAAGAGCATATCGTGATTCACAATTATAAATCAAGACAAGGGCCTGCAAGAAATTTGTAAATGCAAGCACACCCTCACAGGAATTTGAAACCAGAATTTATACCCTTATTTTGACCCCAAAATCCTAACTCAAAAATTAAATTTAAAGCTTTTTTTTTTAATTGTTCTTGCAGATGACGTGATTGTGTACATGGGAAATGCTAAGGAATCTCAAAACAAACTGGTAGAATTAACAAATGAAATTACCAATATTGCTGGATATAGATCAGTATCCAAAAAAGTCAATGATATTTCTATACATTGTCAACAATTAGAAAATGAAATTTTAAAAATCAATACCATTTATACTACTATGAAGAAACATGACAGGGGCCGGTGCTGCGACTCACTTGGCTAATCCTCCGCCTGTGGCGCCGGCACCCTGGGTTCTAGTCCCGGTTGGTGCGTCAGGTGCTGTTCCGGTTGCTCCTCTTCCAGTCCAGCTCTCTGCTGTGGCCCGGGAAGGCAGTGGAGGATGGCCTGTGTGCTTAGGCCTGTGTGCTTAGGACCCTGCACCTGCATGGGAGACCAGGAGGAGGCACCTGGCTCCTGGCTTCAGATCAGCGCAATGCGCCGGCCATGGCAGCCATTTGGGGGGTGAACCAATGGAAGGAAGACCTTTCTGTCTGTCTGTCTCTCTCACTGTCTAACTCTGCCTGTCAAAAAAAAATATGACAGGAATAAATATGAGATATGTGCAAGACCTATAAACTAAAAGCTACTAAGCACTGTTGAAAGAAATTTTGAGACCTAAATAAACGAAAAGATAAACCATGTTGGTAATGTGGAAGGCCAGTGATGAGCCTAGCACAGCTGGTATCCATAGTGCACCCTGTTTCACAGTTCTCCCCTCTCCTGACAAAATTATTGTTAGTAATTATCTTGAAATGAGGTAGTTTCTGATTTTTATCTTAAGTATTTCCTTTTTAATCTTCTTAGGATTTTCTGTTTATCATTCAGTCATTTAGCAGGTGTTTACTGAACACTTAGTGTGTTCCAGGCAACACTCAGAGGGCACAAGAAGACAAACCTTTGTTCTCAGGGATCTCGTTTTGTGGTGGTGGGAGACAGACGGGACCCTCCCTAAGCAGATATCGTGGATGTGAGAAGGCAGTAAGTGGTACAGAGGACACTAAGTCAGGGGAAGACGGGTAGGGAGCCCTGGAGGTAGAGGGGTGATGCAGGGGCTGCCACTTCAGGCCCGTGGAAAGGGGACGTTTGTAGGCTTGAAGGGCGGTGGGTGACCCCTTTGGGTATCCGGAGAGGAGCACTCCTTGCAGAAGGAGCAGGTTGTGCAAGGTGCTGCAGCTGCAGCATGCCTGTCCTGTTTAAGAAACTTCAAGGAAGCTGGCGTAGGGGAGAAGCAGTCAAGGTTGTTACATGGGCTGGAAGGAATAGGTCACCCAGGCCACCCTCACACGACGAACCAAGTGAAATGGGAATGCATTTGGGCACTTGTGACGGCCCTGACTTCCATTTGAAGTCTGGCTTCTTCTGGCTGCTGCCGCGAAGAGACAGAAGAGGGTCAGGATGGAAGGGAGGAGGCTGACGAGGCCGCTTTGGAGCGTGCAGGTGAGGGATGGCCTCGCGTGAACTCCAGCAGCAGAGGCAGTGAGGAGTGACTGCAGGGTTTGCTGACAGATTGGGGGTGGCATAGAAGAGACAGGAAGTCGGGTCAGCCTGCGCAGCCAGGAGGATGGAGGATGACTGTGGTGGAACCAGCCTGGGTAGGGCACAGTGAGTTATATTCGACATCCAAATAAAGACGCTGCATAGGCGCTTGGTACGGTGGGCACTGTTAGCTGTGGTTTGTTTTCTGAGATTGCAGTCACCTGCAGTCCAGAACTATTACGTGGGAGTGGATGTTTGGCGTAGCAGCTGAGATACCCACGTTCCACACTGGAGCACCAGGAGCTGATTTCTTTCTTTCTTTCTTTCTTTCTTTTTTTTTTTTTTTTTTTGACAGGCAGAGTGGACAGTGAGAGAGAGAGACAGAGAGAGTAAGGTCTTCCTTTGCCGTTGGTTCACCCTCCAATGGCCGCCGCTGCAGCCGGCGCACCGCGCTGATCCGATGGCAGGAGCCAGGAGCCAGGTGCTTTTCCTGGTCTCCCATGGGGTGCAGGGCCCAAGCACCTGGGCCATCCTCCACTGCACTCCCGGGCCACAGCAGAGAGCTGGCCTGGAAGAGGGGCAACCGGGACAGAATCCGGCGCCCCAACCGGGACTAGAACCCGGTGTGCCGGCGCCGCAAGGCGGAGGATTAGCCTGTTGAGCCACGGCGCCGGCTCCAGGAGCTGATTTCTGACACTAGCTCCCGACTCCAGCTTCCTGCTAATGCACGCCGCGGGAGGTCGTGGTGATGGCTGAAGTGATTGGGTGTCTGCCACCTACGTTGCAGCCTTGAATTGAGTTCCTGACTCCTAGTTTCAGCCTCGGCCCAGTTCTGGCCATTGTGGATTCTTAGGGAGTAAACCAGCAGATGGACGCATACGCTTGCACTCTGTATTTATGTGTGTATTTCACTGCCTTCCAAATAAACAAACAGTGTTTAAATTTTTCATGGAAAATTGTAGCAACTGATGGTTCCTGAGTTTTAAATTGCATGAAGTCCTGCACTGTCCCACTCCATCCAGCTGGGGCCATGAATCGTCCCTTCGTCCGGCGTTTGCATGCCACGTGTGCCACCCGCTCATGGCTCACTGTGATGCCGCCTCAGTCATCCGATTGATGGTCATGGTGCCACAGTGTTCAGGTAACTTTGTGTTGCTCAATAATGCCCCCAAAATGCAAAATGGCCCCAGGTTTCAGCACCTGGGCCAAGGAGAAGCTCTGAAGTGTGTCCTTCGAGTGAAAAGCTGACAGTTCTCGACTTTATACGGAAAGGGAAAAATCACATCCTGAGGTTGGTAGGTCTTCAGGAACAACACACCTGCCCACGTGTGATGATTCTGCTGAGCCCCTCAGACTGCCACCATCACAGCCATGGCACGTGGGGTGCCCCGAGGAGGTGTCCAGGCACTGAAGTGTGGGGCTCAGCTCCCTCCGCGGCCTTAGGCGCCTGCTGGGAGTCCTGTGACGTGTCCCTACAGGTGCAGGGAGCTGCTCGGTAAGGCCTTGGGAGATTTGTGCGATGGGTGACTGGACCTGGAAACCTGGGAATTAGCAGCTTACAGATGATATTTAGATACAGATAGAGAACAAACATGTAACCAGGGTTTTTTTTTTTTTAATTTCTTTAGGTAATTACTCAGCAAATTCATTTTTGAAAATTTTTAATTTTATTTGAAAGAGTTACAGAAGGGGAGAGGGGGATGGGCGGGAGG